ATCATCCCGGACGTCCTCCAATCCAAACTGACCCCACTCACTGTGCCTGCCCCCACCTGTCAGTGGATTACTAGCTTTTTGACAGACAGGAAGCAGCAGATGAGGTGGGGAAAACCACATCCAGCACCCAGACAATAAGCACAGGTGCCCCCCAGGGATGTGCTCTCCCCTCTGCTGTTTTGACTCTACCCCAACAACCGCATCTCGTTCAAGTTCCTGGTGTTGTTCCCGGTACTTTTTACCATACTGACTCTGAGACGCGAGGCAGTCCAAGTAACTACAAAACAGTGCTGATTTATTCCATGAACACAGGTAAAAATTAACATTACACGCTCAGGTATCTTGCACCTCCAAACTGCACGCAGGCAGATGAAAGATGAAAGACCCTGTTAGGTATTTTTAGTCAGATAGAAATTGGATAGATACTTTATGTATTAGAAATGTTTAGTGGAGATAGGATGTCTAGTTAGACTGTTAAATGCTTAGGCATGCTTAGAGGTCATGTGAGAATGTTTTTAGCTACACAGCACTTAATCAACAGACACACACACATTGATTTACTTCATGTTTTGACTACTGCTATGGCCAGCTGCAAAGCTGGCACCAGGGACACGTCACGGTTGACGTTTCTGTGTAGTATGGGGCTAGCCCAACCGAAGAGATAAATGTATAGGCCTGGTTTGGTTCAGGGTCTTTCATCTTTCATTTGCCTGCGTGCAGTTTGGAGGTGCAAGATGCCTGAGCATGTAATGTTAATTTTTACCTGTGTTCATTGAATAAATCAGCACTGTTTTGAAGTTACTTGGACTGCTTCGTCTCTCAGAGTTAGCATGGTTAAAAGTACCGGGTACAACAACTATCTCCCAGGACCTGAAGTGGACGTCCAACATCAGGACCATCAACAAGAAGGCACAGCAGAGGATGTACTTCCTGCACCAGCTCAGGAAATTCAACCTGCCTCAGGAGCTGCTGATACAGTTCTACAGAGGTGTCAAAACAATTTTTAAAAGAGCAACGCAGTCACGGGAACATTTTAAGCAGTATTCTTTACTTGCAGCAAGGAGACAAGTCAGCATGAGCATACAGAGTTGTCTGAGTAAAACAGATTCAAACAGCACAATATATAGTTGAAAAGGGACACCCTGATAACATGAGTTAATGAATCAAACTGGCACACGTTTATCTTACAGTTGACAGTTGTGTCCCACTTCATCCGGAACATCCTGTAGTTGGGTGTATCACAGCACACAGAGTTTCGTAAGAAAAATAAGACATGTCCTTCAACTTACACAATCAGTTTCTCACAGGTTTCTGTTCTGAAAGTTTAAAACCCATTGAATAGCATATATTGATTAAAACACAGCAAAAATAATGATTAATAATGTAATTCTTACAACAAGAGGAATCATCGAGTCTGTTCTCTGCACCTCCATCACCGTCTGGTTTGGCTCAGCAACCAAACAGGACTTCAGCAGACAGTCAGGACTGCAGAAAAGGTCATTGGTGTGAGCCTGCCCTCCATGGAGGACCTGTACACCTCATGGGTCAAAAGGAGGGTAGAGAGGATCACTGCAGACCCCTCACACTCGGAACACAATCTGTTCAAAGTCCTCCCCTCTGGACAGCGTTACAGGTCACTGTGCGCCAAGACAACCAGGCACAAGGAGAGTTTCTTCCCCCAGGCCATCACTCTAATGAACACTTGACCCACAACAGTATGACTGAACAATAACCCTCAGTGCAACACCTGTAAATATACTGTACATTGTACAGATTATTCAGATCCATACAGGTCTCTATTGTTTATATACTCTATTTTTATTCCTATTTATCTCATTTCAATGAGCATTCCTTTGTCTGTCTGCATTGTTTACTGCCTGTTTATACTGCTTAGTTTGCATTGTTTTCAGTGTTTGTTGCTTGTAAATACTGCTTATTTTGTTATATTACGCAGCCTTATGCTGGTTTACGGTTTACTTGCCCCTTGAATGGGGATATGTACATACAGTACACACTAAGAGCCGATGTAGCAGAGTCAGATTCCTTGTGTGTCTGACACACCTGGCCAATAAAGCAGATTCTGATTCAGCACGTAATTCCATATTATTTAGCTGATTTTCAATCACAATGAGAGCCTCTGGACCCAAGACAAATTTCTTGTGTGTCTAAACATACATGGCCAATAAACATGATTCTGAAATCTGAAAGTAGAATATATGTTTAAAAAATTACAAATGAATACACACATCATTCCATTTTCTTCTGGTTACCAGGGTCGGTTGATGGTGGGAACAGGATCATCAAGGTAGTCCAGATGCCACTCTCCCTGGCAACACATTGCAGCTCCTCTACCAGGATTCCAAGGCGTTCCCAGGGCAAATGACTTATATAATCTTTCCAGAATGTTCTGGTCTGCCCCGGGATCTCCTACCAGTGGGACATGCCCGGTAAACCTCCAAAGGGAGGCACTCTGGACGCATCCTGATAAAATGCCTGAACTACCTCAGTTGTCTCCTTTCAATGTGCAGGAGTGGCAGTTCAACTTTGAACCCCTTCCAGATGTCCAAACTCCATACCCTATTTCTAAGGGTAAGTCTGGCCACCCTGCAAAGGAAGCTCATTTCGGCCACTTGCTTGTATTCAAGATCTTATTCTTTTGGTCACTAGCAACGGCTTGTGACCATAGGTGAGGGTTGGAGCGTGGACTGACTAGTAAATTGAAAGCTTAGCCTTTCGGTTCAGCTCCTTCTTCACTGTATACAAACAGAAAAAATAAAACAAAATTTATAATGATGATAAAAATATTCACCCATTTAGTGCAGTTCCTTATTATATTTGCCCATTCCTCTTCCTTCTTTCTTTGACAAGAGAAAGGCCATGAACTGACAATGCCAGTGCTATTTGTAAGGTCTTGTCAGCCATTATTGATGAAAAGAGGTTGTAACCATGATAATGGTAAGCAAACTCTGCTTTGTTTACAGTTTGTATATATGCCATCCTAGGTCTTCTTTTACAGACTAACTCAGGTGATGGAGACAAACATGACAAAGCTGGATTGAAAACAGAAGTATCACTCCTTATTAAAAGCAGCAATCAGCTACACTAAATTTTAACACAGTGGACTGACATTTGGAAAAGCTGAGGTTTGGACAGGACAAACAACTAAAACAAGAGTAAACCCAACATTTCCAAAAGTAACTGGTTTAATTCAGATGTAGTGTTAAAGCAGAGGGCGGTGGTACACGAGAGGAACAAACTGGGTTGGTTCAGAGCATGACGCAGGTTTATGTCCACCAGAGAGAGAGGAGGGGAAGGAGATAAAGGAGGTGTCAGCCTGAGCTGTGGTTGCAAAGCGTCCAAGCTCTGCAGCTCTGATGATGGATGAAGCTGAACTTTGCTTCCCACAGCTCCTGAACACCTCATGCAAGAGGCCACCACCTCCTCGCTCTGAGGATGTGCTGGTTTACACCCTGCTGTTCTTCATCTCTCTGCTCACCTCCATCCTCAACCTGCTGGTCATCATCTCCATCTCCCACTACAGGCACTGATGAACCTCTGCATTATTTACTGTCAACATTCACCGCTATCATGTGAAATCATGTTCAGAATTCACTTCAAAGCTTGTGTTGTGTGTGGCCTAAAAACAGGTAGTGGAAGTGTGTGGCAAAGAGCTTTAGTAGGTGAGTATGTCAGAATTTCCCACAGTCTTTGTGTAACCTGATTTGTGCACAAATTGTTTCACGTTCTCAGTTTTCTTCTACAAGTCTTTTCTATGTCAGCAAACCTCAGTTCCTCTCTTTTTCTCAGGCTCACAGAGGCTGAAATCACAGGCTTTGAAATGCTGAGTTCTGACTGATAACATTGAAATGTGTCCTCGCTCTGGTTGCACAAAGACTGTGAGACAAAAGAGCTTTGGTGACAGATTCAAGGCTGTGTGAAACATTTAAGTCACAAAGATGAACTGTGTCTGTTTTTACAGCTGAAATCAGATCCAGCATTTGTTTCTGAAACCTGAAGGTGTAACGTCAGGGCCCCACACAATGTGGGAATTTTGACTTTCACACAGTTTCTGCTTTGAATCCCTTCTTAGATGTTCACCTTTCTCTCCAAGTTGTTTTATTGTAACCTCACAAGGTTTATTTTCACACTTTGATAACTACAGAGCTCTTCTACACATCTGCAGACTTTCATTTCTCCTGCACAGACTTTCCACAGGTTAGCAGAGACTGGTACAGCCACAGGCTTTAAATATCTTTCGGAACATCATTCCACAGTCTTGCAGCCTGATCTGAGCCCAGAGCAGTGGCTTCAGCTTCATTTTTATTTTGATCCACTGAGGTGTTGGGTCATTCTTTGCACTGTTGTTGCACAGCAGCTGCTGTTTGTGACGATACTGTTGATGATACACAGGCATGATGTCCTCTTCTTGCAGGCAGCTCCACTCGCCCACAAACCTCCTCCTCCTCTCTCTGGCGGTCTCAGACTTCATCATGGGTTTCCTGGTGATGCCGGTTGAAATCCTCATGATGTGGACCTGCTGGGTCCTGGGTGACCTTTTGTGCGCTCTGTACTACTTCCTCCCTGTCACTCTGCTGAATTCCTCTGTAGGAAACATGGTGCTCATATCAGTCGACCGCTATGTGGCTATTTCCTTTCTCCTTTTACACAATAACCTGGAACCACCAGGCAGGTATAATTCCTGTCACGGGGAGTGTATCATGAACATTATAGCAGCAGATATGGACCTTGTTGTCTCCTTTATTATTCCCATTATAGTCATCCTAGGTCTGTATATGAGAGTGTTTGTGGTGGCGGTGTCTCAGGCTCGTGCCATGCGCTCTCATGTTGCAGCCGTTAAACTCCAGCCTTCAGGGACTGTAATGACAATGAAGTCTGAACTGAAAGCAGCTGGTACTCTAGGTGTTGTTATCATTGTGTTTCTGCTTTGCTATTGTCCATTTTATGGTCTCTGTCTGACAGGAAGTAACATCTTGATTGGTTCTGTACTTGAATCGTATATGAGCTTTCTGAAGTTTTGTAACTCTGGTCTGGACCCTTTGATCTATGCCTTGTTCTACCCCTGGTTTAGAAAAGCTGTGAAACACATCTTCACTCTTCAGATACTGCAGCCTGGCTCCCGTGACACCAACATGCTGTAGACAGTTAATGTGTGATAATTACTCTGAGACATTTTACTTCTTCATAACTACATTTTATTTCTATCCGTATCAACTAGAATGTGTATATTCTGGAGAAAGTGAAGAGCTGCTGGACTTTTGTACCAATATTTCATTTTTAAAACATTCAAACACTTAAACATCCACAAGAGAATTTACTCATTAAACATTATACTGATAAAGCAGGTTTGCATAGATGTAAAACGCATGAGTAGTTTACTGATAAATGTAATTTCCTTCATGCATGAACTGACTGCAGTCACATCTGACCAACACCTTAAAGCTTAACACATGAAGCAGCTGTTTTCATGAGTCAATATTTAAGCATCACTCAAAAAACATTTCATGCAGTTTTTGGAAAATTTAACATATTCATGTTGCAAGTACAAACACTGGTCCAGATTTCAGCTGTAAGAACAGGGGAACATATTTCTAAGTTCAGTGTTCCTTTTGCAGATTGACAGCTGGCCACATGTTGGTGCTAATGGTAACATGTTTTAATATGTTAACACTGTTCATTTGTCTCAAACTAAGTCTAATCCAACAGTACTGCAGTGAATCCTCCTGCATGAAGGTGATGCTCAGTTTGTGTTTCACAGAGGTGTCAATTCATCTGTGTGATCATTGTAGAGGCTGGAGTTTGTGCTGCAGTGCAGCTGTTATGCTGAGGTATGTTTCTGTTATTACTGTATGTCCATCCCAGGCATATGAATGAATCTAGATAAACAGTTCTCTGGATAGTACAATGTGTGTATATACACTCACAGGCCACTCTATTAGGTCCACCTCTACAACTGTATGCACTTCAATGCAACACTTTCACATTAACATCTGTGTTTACGAAGCTCAACATGTTTCAGTTGGTGAAATTGTTATAAATATATAAACTCACATGTTTATTATTGAGCTCATAGTTAAAGGTGGTGTTGTAATGGACTACATTATATTCAGAGGTGTCTATATTTTTTTTCCTCCCCAGCTACATACATGAGAGGGTCAGAATATTAGGAACACCTCTGAATATAATGTAGCCCATTACAACACCATCTTTAACTGTGGCCTCAGTAATAAACATAGAATTTATACATTTGTGACAATTTCACCAAAAACAGAAACATGTTGAGCTTCATAAACACAGATGTTAATGTGGAAGTGTTGCATTAAATGCATACAGTTGTACAGGTGTACCTAATAAAGTGGCCAGACACTGTGTATATATTTTCTTAAACATACCAAAGCAATGAGTAAAAACAGTAAAGTCATGATAATGATGAAAATGTTGAAAGAAAACAGTGCAATTGACAGAAATTAATAAGTGTATTTTTTTTTACACTTATTAATTTCATGACCCTCTTGTAGGATGAAATTATTTTGTGTTCTGCTTGCTGAAAAATTACTCGTACTCTGTTTATTACCGGTGCACTTTGTTGCACATTTTGACCTCTGCGCCACTTAGTGTGTCTCTGTGAGCACCTGTCACAGACACATTGCAAAGAAGCAGAGCTCACAGTTGGCTTTCCTTTTGTCGTCATCGCTTACCTTAACATATCCCCGAGCCACTAAAATTTCTTCTCCACCACCTAACGACTTGCTCAAACAGCCTGAGGTTAGAATGTTGCCTTTAACTGGTATCAGTGCATAATACTGGTCAACCTTTATGATTACAAGTAGTTGTGTGTTTGCTGGCCTGATACCCTGTATCGGTAATGGTGCATCCCCATAAGGAACAGAAAATTACAATTGATTAATATACATATGAGTACTGCACATTGACAGGAGTCTGGGCAACACTGGCCTTATGGACCTTACTCAACTTGATACTTCAGGAAGCTAAAGACCAGAGCTGAGTCTTTTGCTATCACTGCTGCAGTACCTCATAGAATAATCAGTAAAAATACACCATGTAGAGGGTCCAGCTCTACTGTGGTTGGATAGCAGGAGATACAAGATGGCGCCGTTGTGTGTGGCAAGCCATCCACTCCTTGTGGTGGTACCTGGATTGAGTGTATTATTACATGAGTTCTTCATAATTCATAATGTCTCTTCTGTGTTGGTTTACAGTCACCAAGCACTTCTTAACATCTGATCTGAGCTGTTTAATCATGACATGAAGACAGACAATGTATTTTTGTCAAACATACTGGCAAACTGGTCGCCCAGCCTGCACTCTTCCCTGTGCAAACCCTCACAGACAATGGGGGAAATGGGCCAGGGGGTATAGACTAGAATAGAATAGCCTTTATTGTCATTGCATAAAAAGCAACGAAATTAGCTGTGCCACGCCAGAAAAAAAGGCAACAATAATAATGCTGACCAATACATACATACACACAGCACAATAATCCTAATACATAATAAATAGCCATTAAAAAAGAGTGTTGGGGGTTCTGGTAATGGAGACATGCTGAGAGGACGCATATCGGCTCCATCACTTTGATAAAAAAAATCTGTCTAATATTCGCTTTTCTATAACTCCCACAACTTCCGTACAGGTAATAAAAATCTGTGATGCCTATTTCACAGAAAAAGACAGGGAAGGGCCCCAGTAAATTGCTCCGAGCCAAACTTTGTTACTCCTAACGCTAGCATGGAGGATGACGAAGCTAATGCTAACACACCTGGAGTGAAAGAGGGGAAAGGTGCTGAAACGGCAGGTGTGAAGGAAGCACAGGTTGGCTCCGAAAAGATCCTGGATGCAATAACTAACCTGAAATCTGACTTTTCGTCTAAACTGGATGGCATACTGGCAGCAATAGAGAATGTTAGGAAAGATATAAACGACTGTGCTGAGAGGGTTAGCCAGGCGGAGGCCCGGATTTTATTGGCTGAGGATGACATCAACTCGCTACAGGCTAAGGTACAAACACTTGAAAGCCAAACAAAAATTTTAGAAGAAAAGGCGTTGGACCTGGAAACTAGATCAAGGCGGTCAAATCTGAGACTTGTTAATTTACCTGAGGGAGCAGAAGGAGAAGACACCTGTAACTTTTTGGAAAAATGGCTACCAGAGGCTGTGGGGCTGACACGACACATCCTACCCTAACACTGGAGAGAGCACACCGTATCGGTCAGAAGAACACATCCAATGCCGCACAGCCACGAACTCTGATCATGAAGTTCCTAAACTACAGGGACAAGATAGCTGTGGTGAGAGCTGCCTGGGCTAAAGGACAAATTTTATACAAGAACTGCTCTGTGAGGCTCTATGGAGATCTGGCTACCGGGGTAGACAAGAAGCAGAAGGAGTTTGATGCAGCAAAACAACAACTTCGTGACATGGGAATACGATGTGGTATGATACCCCCTGCTTGGCTGCTGGTAACGTATGGAGGTCAGTCTTGTATCTTCACCAAGCCAGGCGATGCAGAGAACTTTATACGGTCGCTCAGACCAGAAAAAGAATTGGGATAAAATGTTATTATTTACATAACTCATTTAATGTTGTTAGGTAATTTTTTTAGTTAGATAGATATGGATTAGAGATCTGTTGTATTAGAAGATGTTAGTGCAGCCAGGATGTCTCCTCAGGCTGTTAAATACAAGGATAGTTAAGGCAGAGAAGGGCTCAAGTCAGGGACAAATGTTATTATGACGGTAAAAGTAACCATAATATTTGTCTTAATGTGTAATGTTATGTCAAATTGTTTTAGATACACACCACGAAAACAACAGCCACACACATTATTTTCTTCATGTTTTGTCTACTGCTCTGCTCAGCTGCCAAGCTGGCATATCAGGTGACATCACGGTTCGACAGCCCAGAAATGATTAATATTGTATAGGAATTCTTGGTTCGGGGTCTTTTCTGCTTCCGGGCTGCTTTGGCAGGCTGGGGGTTGGAAGATCTCTGGACTGGAAGTGTGAATTCTTGCCTGTGACTCTTTGAATAAACCAGTACGGTTATATTTTTTATATACTCAAGTGGTCTGAGTCGTCCCTCGGAGTTCCTGGTTTGAAAGAACCGGATGAGGCTTTATAATGGTTTACAGCCTTTAATGTGACTGTGTGAAATAGGTATGAACATGAAATTGTTGTTGTCTATGGGTGCACACAAAGTTCATACCTTGGTTGAAAATATGTTGATTGCATATTTTGGTTAAAAATGAGCTCATTATTTATGTGACGAAGCTGAGTAGAGTGTAATGTTTTTTGTTTTGATAAAGCATGGTAAGCTGCTCCTCCTGAGTAAGTGGAGTGGACGCTTGCTGTTAAACAGGAAGACAATGTATATAGGGGGGTGGGAAGCGAGTATTTGTACTCGAGTTAAGCTTCTAGGGAATTGTTCAGTGTTCGAAGAGTTTGTTTTTTTCTGGTACATGTTCACGTATGTGTGTTTGTCTCCCCCACCTTTTATTATTTTATTTTATTTATTCTTATTATCATTCATACCAACTTAAATGTCTGGTGGGTTAAAGATTAAGTTCACCTCGTGGAACTGCAGGGGGCTACAAAAATTGAAAAAGGTGAAACAAGTAATGAGCAGGTTACAGTCTATGCACAGCAATATTATCTTTTTACAGGAAACTCATGTCGGGAGATGATGAGGTCAGGATAAGGAGGAGGTGGCAAGGCAGTGTCTTCTCTGCACCATTTACTTCACAGGCAAGGGGTGTTCTTATTCTAATACATAAAACAATATCCTTCCAGGTGGACAAGGTAATTAAGGACAGAATGGGAAGGTATATAATCATACAAGGTTCTATTTTCAATGTAAAAATTTATTTGATTAATATTTATAAATCAAATAGCGATGATCCCGGGTTTTTTCATAACTTGTTTCTTACAATTTCAGTTCTCACTGGGGAATATATTATAGCAGGGGACTTCAATTGTACCCTGAACCCAGGTCTAGACAAAAGCTCTGGTATAGATACATCTCACCCCAAAAGTAGACAAACTATCCTTCAGTTTATGAAAGAATTAAATCTTTGTATGGAGATGTATGGAGAGATAGAAATCCTACCACTTTGAAGTATTCCTGT